AAAAGAGATTTCACATATAAAAGAAACTTCTAATAGAAAGGTTTCACATAAAAGGGTATGTAAGGGGATGAAAGTTAAACTGTGAAAATTGAGAATCAGAAAAAACGTAAAAATGAAGCACTCAGGATGAGTAAATGTGCAAATTTGTTCTATCGCATGTAGCGTTTAGGAAATTTTCAGCTATTGGAATCAGCTGCAATGATCCAGAAATTATCCTCGATAGCCCAGGAATTGGCAAAAGGCAAATATAGCAATGTTCAAATCCGAATTGCTCATAAATACGACGAAATCGAGCGACTGATGCTGGAAGAATTTGTGCGAGCGCACAGACAAGGCAACTGGCGCAGGATGCGTGAAATTGCCGCAATCCTTGCTGATTTCAAAGTAAGCTATTTCGCCATAAAAGGTCTAAATTCATCGGTAATAAAAAGTTTGAGAGTTCCAGCTTCTTTGCCTTTGCGAGCTTCTTACTGTAAAGAGCGAAGTGCTATTCAATTTTTAAGCTTTGTCCAATTAGCCTTTGCTTTATTTGCTTAAATTTCTCTTTTTTTCTAATATTTTAATTATAATCCATTGTCTGTTATAAAAATTTTTCTTGTTTCATTTATTTATTTTAATAATATTACAATCGTTGTACAGACGAGATCCAGTTGTAGTGCTGAATAGGAATGTATTATGATCCAACGGGTATTCCTATTCATCTAAGTTTTTTATTGAATTTTACATTTTTTGTGCTCATATCATAATTAATATCTCGTTTTTGTGATTTTAAAATTTATTTCACATCTTAAGCAAGTAAAATTTTGCAGAATTGTGTTTGAACTAATTACGTTTATTTTTTTCTTCCACTCTCTACTGCCTCTATCTTAGTTGCAGAATTGTTTTTTTTACCGCATTGTCCGCGAAATTTATTGGTTTTATTTCAAATAAGTTGATTTTTATTCGAAAATGCTGGATTTTACAAAGTATTGGAATATTTAAGTGTGTTTTATACACAAAAAATTTCCTATAAGTTTTTCCAATGGGGATGATAGTACAGGAGGGTTAATCTTCTTGGATTAGGCAAAACTGACATCGCTTTTTTTGTTGGATGATGGAAAATTTTGCATTAAGAAAGCATTCTTCTGGTGCATTCTGGCCTATAAACATCAGTCAAAGGTTCAGATACCTGAAACAGCTAGGGTAAGTAATTAAAAAGTGAATGATGAACAGTTAATTCAAGTGGAAGCAAACTTAAGTGCAGCTTTTCACGGAACCTTCACCATCTACCTGAAAATTGGTTGGTATGGAATGTGCTTAATTTCTATATTATTTCAGAAAAAATACATGTCGCACAGGTAAAACAGCCCATATTTTAGGGCTATTCGCAGTGTTTGGATGCTTTTGTGGAACATATGCAAATCAACGCTTTCCGTGGTGATAATGTCTTCGATGATATATTATCGTTGTGTCAAAAAACGCAACCCATGCTGAGAGAAATATTTCCGAATCCCGATCAAGTGATGTCAAAATTGGTCCTCAACTTGTTCCATGGCAAACTCCAGGTAATTTTGCATAATTTTACTTACAACTGCGACAGAAAAGAGACGACCATAGAAGTATTTCTTGTTTTAGCGCATGTTTTGCAAACTGTTGAATCGTGGATTTTGAGTTGGCATGTCCCTTTCTTGTCTGGAATTCTTGGATTTAGCTTTTAATTCCTCGTATGACTCTCCAGTTGTACAGCTGGCATCTTCTCCAACTGAATTGATTAGAGTTAAGATTGTTGGTGGCCGAACTTTTGGTATTTGTCCCCCCAGGAAGTTGCCAGTCTATCTGTTCTTCCAGCAGAGACGATCGGCAGGGTTCTAGCCGCTTCGAGATATCATTGTTTATCGCCTTGTTATGAATTTGTCATGAGGAATGCGAATGCTTGCTTCGTTATGTGATTCTAGGCATGTTCGCATACGTCGGCTACTTGCTGCTGCGCTTACTAGAATTGGATCAGAATTTTTTTCTTTTTGTTTAGTTCTTGTTTTTCGACACTGTCAGCGAAAGTTCAAATTGTTTTTGTTAGGGATTTTATGCCTTGTCTTCTCTTTATGCTAATCTTTAACGATTAAACGCACGTTCATCATAAACATGGCGGATCGAAGACTGTAATGATGATTCCTACTCCTACTGGCATATTGTGTTCGGCCTATGCTTACAGCTAAGGGATGAAACACAGACTGTTTCCTAACATCTCCGCTACGCATGTTATTTTGATTAATGCCTTGTCATCTTCCGGAACTTTCATATGGCGCAGTTTGGGAAAGAAAGCTTTCTGCTGTAGATCTTTTGGAGATTTCGGATCATTTGTGTCTTTAAGCCGTCTTAGTTAGACTGCATTCGGGTCTTCAGTCGCTAGTGAGATGCAAGCTTACAATCGTGAAAACAGTTCATGTTGGTTTGTGTCATCACTGAAGTGTGAAGCGATTGCCGTGATCTATGATAGAACAATACAGATTTCAGGAAGTAATCACAGCGAAGCTCAGTGATTCCGAAAATGATTTGGAGGTTTACTTGACGACAATACACGACTTATATTCAAGGTATGTACTATCTCTAATTTTCGTTGTGTTAACAACAGATACCTTTAATTTGACTTAATTTTTTTGCTGTAGCAGATTGACAAAAAAAAAATTCCGCTAGCTTCTAAACAATTCTTGGTAAAGCATCTTGTTAAAAGTTATGCAAATTGGTGGATGTTGTTGTCATATATGTTGGCACGGATTGCTTTTCGGGCTACTTTCGAAGTATTGTCGCTTTTCATAGGCGGTAATAGGAAGATTGATCTTTGTTTTTTTTTTTACTAAATCTGTTAAAAAAATAGAAACTCAGGACACAGAAATTGGTATCAAAATTTACGGCATCGCGAATTGGTGGGGCTGATCCTCAGTTCTTGGAAACATTGGTGCGGTCAGTGTTTGGACGTTATTTGGAAAGCTACCCTGCGTAAGTTTACTTTCTTTTGGTTCTTTTAAAAATTAGCTTTATCATCCAAGAAGACGGTTAAGAAACAGTTCGAAGGCATCAGTATTGTTTTACTTTATAAATAGGAGTTTTTCCTATTATTCGGCTGGTGATTTTTACTTTCTTCAGGATTGAGCAGCAGTTTTTAACAGAGCAGTGTGGTGGTATTTTGAGCCGCTTTTATGAGTTGAAAAATCACCAGAAGAAGCAGATTCAAAGCGGAGGGTTAGCGATTTTTTTTCTTTTGAAATAAATTATTAACCATGTGCGTTAAATCACTTTCTGTACAATGTTTTCTTTATTCTGTTCTGCTTTTCAGAGTATCCTACGATCATTTCATTGTTTTGGCCGGCCGTTAGTGTTTCAGCGACTAGTACTAACTTCAAGTCCTGAGCACGAACGAATATTCTGCATTTTAGATTGCAAGATCTGAAAAGAGACATCCAGGCACGATTGCTAAATGTCGAAACTTATGGCGGCGAGACATTTTTGTCTGAAGAAGTAGCTATTAATATACTTCAAGAAACGAAAAATGCATTTCAACGTTGTCAGCTGGTACGATTTTATATATTTTAATTTTTTTGAGAATTGCCGATATTGCTTTCTGGTTGGTAAAAATATTTCGTTGTCGTTTAGAAATGGCAGCGTTTGGGACGAAATGAAGTTTCACCGAATTAAGTTCACTGCGAATTAAGTTCACCTTGAAACAGCTAAGTCTTCCTTCCCATGCGCTTCTTCGGGAAAACCGTTAAGCTCTTAATACCTTCAGGAGCTAGAGGAAATGCAGACCGCCGACAACCTGACCACCAATCGATGAAACACTGATTAAAGCAAATGAAAAAGCTGACAGTTACTTATCTGGAGAGCCAGACTGTTAATTACAGCTGCTTCCAGTATTCCAAGGGGACAGGATTCTTGCAGGTAGCAGGTATTAGCTCCAGATATACAGCTTAAGACCGAAGGGCTTAGCATTTCTAGGCCCAGTATGTGGATACATCTCAGTAACATCATTGGTATTTGTTTTTATCACGGTGATCTTTGGTCGCCTTGTTCATAAATTTTAAAATCCAACCTCAGGAGCATGTGGTTCAGGTTTTTTTTATTAATTTTTGAAATAGCCCAGTCAAATGACCAGAAAATTTAGCTATGCGACAAGGACGGAGCACCGAAAATGACCGAAATGATCTTTGATATATTGTTAAAATTTCTGTATACAGAACATGTTGATTACGCCATCGATCTTTCACTTGCTGGTGCGTTTCGTCAAATTTCTGTTCTTTGAAAAGCTCTTTGCTTTCGGCTTTTGAATTCCCGGTTTTCGAGATTTTTTTTTGTAACAGTGTTTTTTTTTTTGCAGGAATATCACTGGCAGAACCAAAAACT